ATCCCAAAGAAAAAGAAATGCAAGCAAAAAAAAAAAAAAAAAAGAAATGCAAGAAGGCAAACTGGTTGCCTGAGAAGGCCTTACAAATAGCTGAGAAAAGCAGCAAAAGGCAAAGGAGAAAGGAAAAGACAGACCCAACTGAATGCAGAGTTCCAAAGAATAGCAAGGAGACAGAGGAAAGCCTTCTTAAGTGAACAGTGCAAAGAAATAGAGGAAAACACTAGAATGGCAAAAACTAGAGATCTCTTCAAGAAAATCAGCGATACCAGGGGAACATTTCATGCAAAGATGAGCATGATAAAGGACAGAAATGGCAAGTACCTAACAGAAGCAGAAGAGATTCAGAAGAGGTGGCAAGAATACAAAGAACTATACAAAAAAGGTCTTAATGATCCAGACACCAAAATGATGTGGTCACTCACCTAGAGCCAGACACTCTGGAGTGTGAAGTCAAGTGAGCCTTAGAAAGCATTACTACAAAGTTAGTGGAGGTGATGGAATTCCAGCTGAGTTATTTCAAATCCTAAAAGATTATGCTGTTAAAGTGCTGTACTCAATATGTCAGTAAATTTGGAAAACTCAACAATAGCCACAGGACTGGAAAAGGTCAGTTTTCATTTCAATCCCAAAAGGCAATGCCAAAGAATGTTCAAACTACCACACAATTGCACTCATTTTACATGCTTGTAAGGTAATGCTCAAAATTCTTCAAGCTTGGCTTCAATAGTATGTGAGCTGAGAGCTTCTAGATGTACAAGCTAGATTTAGAAAAGGCAGAGGAACCAGAGTTCAAATTGCCAACATCTGTTAGATCACAGAAAAAGGAAGAGAATTCCAGAAAAACACCTACTTCTGCTTCATTGACTACGCAAAAGCCTTTGACTATGTGGATCACAACAAACTGTGGAAAATTCTAGAGATGGGAATATCAGACCACTTTACCTGCCTTCTGAGAAACCTGTATGCAGGTCAAGAAGCAACAGTTAGAACTGGATATGGAACAATGGACTGGTTCAAAACTGGAGTATGTCAAGGCTGTATACTGTCACCCTCCTTATTTAACTTATATGCAGAGTACATCATGCAAAATGCAGAGCTGGATGAATCTCAAGCTGGAATCAAGATTGCCAGGAGAAATATCAACAACCTCAGATATGCAGATGATACCACTCGAATGGCAGAAAGCAAAGAGGAACTGTTGATGAGGGTGAAAGAGGAGAGTGAAAAAGCTGGCTTAAAACTCAACATTCAAAAAACTAAGATCATGGCATCTGGTCCCATTACTTCATGGCAAATAGATGGGAAAAAAATGGAAACAGTGGCAGACTTTATTTTCTTGGGCTCCAAAATCACTGTGGATGATGACTGCAGCCATGAAATTAAAAGATGCTTGCTCCTTGAAAGAAAAGCTATGTCAAACCTAGACAGCATATTAAAAAGCAGAGACATCACTTGGCTGACAAAGGTCCATATAGTCAAAGCTATGGTTTTTCCAGCAGTCTTGTACGGATGTGAAAGTTACTACAAAAAAAGGCTGAGAGCCAAGTGATGCTTTCAAACTGTGGTACTGGAGAAGATTCTTGAGAGTCCTTTGGACAGCAAGGAAATCATACCAGTCAATCCTAAAAGAAATCAACCCTGAATATTCACTGGAAGGACTATGCTGAAGCTCCAAAACTCTTGCCATCTGATGTGAAGAGCTGACTCACTGTAAAAGACTCTGATGCTAGGAAAGATTGAGGGCAGAAGAAGCGGGTGACAGAGGATGAGATGGTTGGATAGCATCACCAACTCAATGGACGTGAGTTTGAACAAACTCTGGGAGACAGGGAAGCCTGGTGTGCTGTAGTTCATGGGGTCGCAGTCAGATATGACTCAGCGACTGAACAACAAATGACATATGATGTTGAGCATCTTCTCATATGCTTATTTGCCGTCTGTATAATCTTCTTTGGTGAGGTGCCTGTTAAGGTCTTTTGCTCATTTTTAAATTGAGGTGTTTAATTGAGGCAGTGGTTCACTATCTCTGGGACCCACTGTTCCAAATGGGAAGGTGACAACAATTCATATCATTGCTCTTCTATGTATAATAAGTACTTTACCTCTGACCGCTTTCAAAATTTTCTCTGTCTTTTGTTTTCAGCAGTCTGACTACAACATGCCTACGTGTGGTTTGCATTGTATTCAACATGCTTGCTTAGGGCTTACTAAAATTTCTGAATATCTAAATTTGTCTTTCACAGATTTGGGGAAAATTTCAGCCATTATTTCTTCAAAACATTTTTTATGGCCCCTTCTCTCTCTTTCTCCTCTCTTACTGGTATTCCAAATGTACACATGGTAAACCATTTTACATTTTTCCACAGGTCATTGAGACTCTTCACTTTTTTCTAATCTTGTGATTTTCAGATTGGCTAATTTTTATTGATCTATCTTCAATTTAACCCTTTCTTCTGTCATTGCCAATATTCTATTGTTGTTTAGTTGCTTAGTCCTATCTGAATCTTTTTCGACCCAATAGACAGTAGCCCACCAGGCTCTACTGTCCATGGGATTTCCCAGGCAAGAATACTGGAGTGGGTTGCCATTTCCCTATCCAGAATTTGCTATTAAGCTTATTCAAATTTTAAAAAACTGAAATATAGTTGACATACAATGTTAGTTTCAGGTGCATTACAGTGGTTTGACATTTGCATATATTATAAAATGATCACTGTAAGTCTAGTAATCATCTGTCCCCACACAGTTATGATATTATTGACCACATTCCTTACTCTGTATATTACATTCCTGTGGCTTATTTATTTTATAACTAGAGGTTTGTAGCTCTTCTTTTTTTAAGATTAATTATCTGATTATAGATTTATTCGTGAATTTTTTTTTTACTATCTCTAGTTTCCAAGTTTTATACAAGAAAGAATGCCCTTTTCTGCAATGAGAAAAAAAGAATCAATATTAATTAAACATCTCTCTTATCCCATAGGGTAAGTTTGACCTTTTAGACTATAAGAGTATGGAGTTGAAAAGTCCATCTGTATGACAAAGTTATTTACAGAGTCTTAGCTAAGATATAGACCTTACATCTATCACAAGAATTAACTTAAAATGGATCATAGACATAAATGTAAAATATAAAACTACTGAAGATAACATAGGAGAAAACCTATATGACCTTGGTTTCCCTCCAGTAGGTAATGAAGACCATAGAAATTTGCTGCCAAGTGAGAGTCATGCTCAGACTGGTGTTGTGTAGAAGTTGCTTGGACAGATTGGCATAAGCAAAAATGGCCCAAGATCATGCAAGGGGCAGTCTCTGCAATCTTTTCTCTATGTGTGTGCACATGTGAGTTTTGTAGCTCTTAACCCCCTTCACCTATTTCCCCTCTGTATCTATAAGTCTGTTTTAATTTCTAAACTTCAAATATTACATTTTTCAGTTCTGGAATCTTTTGTGTACAGTTTCTACTTTTTCGAGATTTATTACCTTTTCATTCATTACAAGCATATTTTCCCCTATGCCCTTGAGCACAGAAATAAGCTGTTTTAAAGTCCTTGTCTGCTGATTTCAACATCAGAATCATCTTGGGGTTGGTCTCCACTGACTGCTTTTCCTCTTGAGCATAAGTCACATTTTCTTTCTTTTCCTGTATAGCAGTTTAGAATTGAATCCAAAACTTTCTGAATGATATGTTGTAGAGATTCTGAATTCTGTAAAAAGTACTGATTTTTTGTTTTAACTATTTTTCATTTAATTTCTGTAGAATGAAAATTCCAAGTTCTGTTTCTCTGCATTGGGTAAAGCTGGATTATCCATTCAGTTATTTTAGACTTACTGAGGGTGCTTGGAATCAGTCCTATGCATGCATAGCTTAGCAGTCTGCCAGAGATTTGGGAAGGGTTTATATAGAGAATTAGGGCTCCTCCTCAGTGGTTTCTCTCCCGGGATATCTCCTTAGTTTTCAGTGGCTATAATCATCCTGAATCTGTTCTCTCATTCCTCAAACTATAAGACTGCAAGTTTCTATCCAAGTTTTATTTACCTCCATATTACATCAACTGCAGCCTGCCCATGGATGAAAAGCTATAAAAACACAGAAAACCCTTTCAAATCACCACTCTTCTCTGTGCTATAGTGGAAATGGCATTACAACTGGGAATTTTAGGGCCTGTGTTAAAATTCTAGCTTGGCCACTTTCTAGCTATGTTTACTTTGGGTCAGTTCTCAGATACCATTTCTTCACTCTAAAATGGGAATAAGAATGTTTGCTTCATGGGGTTGTTAAGAATATAAAGTGAGATAATACATGAGATATGGAAAATAGGCTCAGAGGGGCTATGATTGTCCTATTAAGTGGTAGGAGTCATTGGTTACTGCAGATCTGACCATGCTTTTTCTGCTATATCATACTGCTTCTATCTAATGACTACCAACTCTATCTTTCCCTCCCAAAGACACCTGCAAGTACCTACTATGATCTAATTACCAAGTTGAGCTCAAAGAACACAGTAAGCTAAAGTTCTTACCCACAAGAAGTTCCAAGTACCATTACCTTCTAATTGGTGACTGCCCTACAGTCTGTGTCTCCTTTTGGTCACTCTCAGGGCCTCCAGATAGCTGTTTTGTTATATTCTGCTCAGTCTTTAACTGTTATCTATAGGAGGGGTTGGCCTGATAACAACCTACTCTGCTGTTACCGGAAGTGGAACTGCTATCTGTGGATTTTTGGCTTTGCTATCTATCTGTTCAGTCTGTTTTTATGCCATGATATATGGAAAAATTAAAAAACTATGCTGCTTCACTGCCTCCATCTTCCCAGAATCACATGCTATTTACTTTAGTAATAAATGAAATAAAATACTGACTAGAATCTGTTACTCAGAATCTTTGTTCAGATTTCTTTTGCTCTAAAGGGCAATGATACTTGGTCTGAATTTAACTGCTAGAGAGTTAGGGACCAGTAGCGTAGTAGTATAACTACTCGCCTCCCACCCCTTCATACCTGACGTTGTCTTGGCTATTCCCTGATCTGGTAATGCTCCAAATTTCCGATGCTGTTCATACCAGTCATTCACTGTCATAGATGCCAGACTTGGATAACCAGTTCCAAATACTCTGCAAGAATCACACTGCATTTAGAAAAGTAAACATAAACAGCACTATTAAAAAGTCTCTTCTCTTTAGTGGTAAAGCTTGTGTATGTTTCTTCCTTGCTCCCCTATCCAGCTATCCTCTGAGGAGTTGTGTAAATTCCTGTGAGGACAGTGGAGAGAGACATCCAGGGAGGAGAATTAAAGGCAAGAGCTTTCACAAGAAGATAAAGGCCCAGAGTTATCTCCCAATAAGCAATCTCAAAGGCTAATGCCCCACAGAATGATGATATAATGGAAGGAGTATTTATTCTTGGTGGGTCTAAAAGATACACAGAGGAAGGAGATTCTTCTGCAACCTTATGGAAAAGGTTAATCTTTAATCTCAGAATTAAAACCCAGGTAGGCAAACATGACCATTTGAGAACTGCAGCTGAAGGAAACAATGGGAAACAATTTTAAGGGCTACAATTCTTCTTTAGATTCTTTTTTCCTTCTTTCTGTATTTAATTCATTAATTATTTATTATTTTTGTTGGTTTCCTTTTGAGCCTATTTTTAAGCTCAAGTTTGTAAGGGAAATGTCTGATGATGAGAGATACAGAGAAAGTATTGGAAGAGATAATATTCCTTTGATGGAAAACAGTCTCCCCAGTGAAGCCATGATCTTTATTTAACAATGTCCATTCTGTTACTCATGCACTGTAAATGAACACAAAAATAGGGGGCTTGCAAAGGCAACCCACTTTTTAATACCACCTACTTGGCTTGGGCCATGTTCCGAGTGAGAACAAACGGTTTCATTGGAGGCCTGTCCTGACGAGATGACTGAGAAGTTGATGCCTAAAAAGGAAATTAATGATCAGAAGTGTATTTGTCATTGTGCCCACCCCACTATACAGGTTCTTAAGTCTTTAGGTGCTTGAAAAACCGTACTTATCATATTCTAAGATATATTAGCAGAATACCAATGGTGGAGGTTGGTTAGCTCTCCTGAGATGGCCCAAGTATCATGCTGGAAAGGGAGGAAGAGAAAGCTCTCCCAGGAATCATTTCACAAGTGAAAAATTACTTGACTTTAAAACACTCCCCTCCAAAGAGGCAGATTCCAAAGCTTTCTTTCATGTTCCCCCGAAACCTCCTGAGCTGAATTTGAAGCCCCTCTCCTCAGCCTGGCTTTCAGGGCTAAAGCTGAATTATTAAAACCCTGCTAAAACCCTGTCCAATGTAATTATGCTATTAAATGTCAAGAGCTCCCTAGGGTGTTTTAGAAGTGGATGTTCCTAAATGCAAGAGAGAGAGGAAGAATGGGTTAGTATCTTTCATATATAGGTGTATAGAAATGTTTCAAGGAATCTTGGCTGTTCAGGGGCATATCGAAACAAACTATGGTCTAAGAAAAAATGTTCACTTTGTAACTCCATCACTTACATAGCCAATCCCAATACCAAATGAGAGAGAATAAAAACAAAAAACAAAGGAGGAGACAGGAGGATCCAGAATAGTCCAGCCTCACAGTGTTTGAAACCCACTCATCTAGATATACTCAAGGGGCCTTAAAGCTTTAGAATATTAATTGTTCGTTCTTTGATCCTTTAACATAAGGAACTAGGTTGATGTTACCCTGAGGCAAAAGCTCCTGGGCTAATTAGTACAAATCAAATTAGCAAGAGTTCTCTGAGGACTTAAATGCCTGCAACTAGTTGATTAATTCAACTCAATTCATGTTATATCCTGAACCAAAAAGTAATCGGTAGTAGAGCCTGATACTTTTTTTTCTTTTCTATAATTCTTCCCTCTTTTTTTTTTTTTTAACAAACCCTTGTGTTAAGGGCTGACTTTCAATAGATCGCAGTGAGGCAGCTGCTTTGCTATGTACGAAACCCCGACACAGAGCCCAGTATTTTGAAAAATCAGCTCCAAAACATAGTTATGGTCTTCAGATACAGCCAAAGTGGTATTATACCAAGTTTTCTTTACCATTATGCCTGACGTTTTGTGCATACAGAGGTCCTTGCTGTGTCTCATACTTCAGTGACCTATGGTGTGAGTCTATCACTGTGTAAGGTTAACTTTTGATTTCTCCCCCAACCAAAACATATTTCGTGTCTTTTATCTTCTTTTTAAGTTTTTTCTCTCTCTTCTCCAGTTCCACTTTTCTTCTTCATTCGTATCCTATCCCTCTTCCTGTTTATTACAGTCAAGCACAGATTTTCAAGGCCCACCTCCCTATGCCTTCCTTCAGCAGTCATGATTGCATGTGTGCTAAGTCGCTTTAGTCATTTCTGACTCTGTATGACTCTATGGACTGTGGCCTGCCAGGCTCCTCTGTCCATGGGATTCTCCAGGCAAGAATACAGGAGTGAGTTGCCATGCCTTCCTCCAGAGGATCTTCCTGACCCACAGATCAAACCTGCATCTCTTATGGCTCCTGAATTGGCAGGCAGGTTCTTTATCATTAGCGACACTTGAGAAGCCCCCACAGTCATGACTGCTCGCAGTCAAAAGCAGTCTTCACTTCAGAGAAGACTCCCCCTCTCCTGGCATGTCACAAAATTACAAAAGACTAGAACTGTATTACAGGTTAGAAAGCACTAGGGAACACTACTGTAAACTAGAGAGAAAGCTATCCTAGAGAACCTTCAGCATTCCTCCACTAATGTTAATAAGAACAGTGATTTTATGGGAACATGAAAGGATTTTAATTTCATTACTCTCCTGAAGAAGATTCAAATCTCTGACAGTAGCTTTGTGAGCTATTTAGGCAGTGACCAGGCTTACCTCTTTTGTGGAGTCTTTTTTTCTCAAGATCTTTATCTCCTGGTCAATGCTCTCAATCTCTTCTAAGCTGATACCAATCCACCTTCGAAGGTGAAGGAGGTAATATTCACGAACATGCTCATCATCTGCTTGACCACTTTCCACAGCAGATTTCAGTGCAGACAACCTATGCTCCACCTCCTTCTTCTGCTTGTATCTGTTCCACAGAAAAGTATTACCCATGAACATAAAAATAAAGTGGTGCTCCTTGAAAAGAAGACCAAAATACGATTTTACCTTTGCAAATGATCAGGTAGTAAGGATGACGACTTCCACTTTGGCAAAAATTCTGATTTTATACCTCAGAATTTGCCATCAAGGCCATTCTCGCAAGACTACAAGGCAAGGAAGGGATAAGTAGAGGTGGAGAAATAACATTCTAAAGCCAGAGAAATATAGAGGAAACCTGATCTGAGCAATTCTTCCCATCATCTTTCTAGATCGGAGTACTTTAGTAATTTTATGACATCAACCTTTATTAGGTTAGGTGCTTAGTATCATACAATGTCCATTTGGGAATTATAGCTTCAAATAATCACAGAATTTTAGGGGTTATTTACCTGCCATTGATGCAGGAATTCCTAAAAATGGTCATCTCTTCTTTTCTTCTGTGCAAAATGTTTCCAGCTCTTCTGACTCATCCTGTATAATCTAAAGACTCATATCCACCCTGCCTGCCTTTTCCAAGATGCATTCTAGTATGTCATCTATCACTCACTGGACAACTATTTACTGAGTACCTATCGTGTGACATGCACTGTTCTCAGTGCTTGAGCCACAACAGTACTTACAAGAGAGTCCTTGCTCTCCTGAGGCTTTCATTCTAGTGTGAGCAGACAAAACGAAATAGATGGGTCAAGTGGTGATAAGTCTTCTGAACAAGTCAAAAAAAAAACAAACAAACCTGCAAGCTAAACTGGATAGAATGATGGTGTGAAAGTAGGGGTGTTCAGGAGAGACTTCTCTAAAGAGGTGACACTTGAGCAAAGACTTCAAGGAAATAAGTACAGAAGCCATGACAGTATCTGGAAGAGTGTTCTAAGGGGGAAAAGCAAATACGAAGGTCCTTGGGTGGGAGAGTGCTGTCCTGACATGTTTGAGGAACAGCAAGGAGGCCAGTGCGGTTGGCATGGAGTGAAGATGATAGGAAATGAGGTAAGAGAGATAGCCAGGGCCATATAGAACCCAAATAGGCTATAAGACATGAAATATTGGCTGTCATAATGTTTTGAATGAGAAGAGAAAGTCACTGGAAGCTTTAAAATAGAATACATGACGTGAAAACTTTCTAAACAGACTACTCTGACTGGACTGTGGGAGGCTGGGAGGCAAGGGTGGAAGCAGGAAAATCATTTTAAGAGGGTACTGCCATAATCCAGGTTGAGAGTGACTTGAAACAGGGAGGTGGTAAGATACAGATGTAATTAAAATATAAAGCAGTATTTGTTGATTTATTGGATGTAAGGGCTTGAGGGAAAGAGGAATAAAGGAAAAACTCTGCAGTTTCCAAGAGAAGCATCTTGAAATACCTATGTCTGGAACTCCACTCCAGACCTCCAGGATCAGATGCTTCTCTGTAGGTGTTCACTCAAATCTGGAATTCTTAACTTGAGTTCAATGGACAGAATTTGGGGAGGATGGCTGTCCTTGAGCTCCCCCAAATTTTGTATAGAACTCTATTTGTATGCTTTTTTTTTTTTTGCCAAGAAGATGTTAAAGGAGGTCCACGACCCACAAAAAGTCAAGAACCACTGCTCTGGAAACATTATTATAAAAACTTTTAGGCTCTTCTATTCCTTTTAATTAACAAGTGGGCACTTTGCAATGTTACAAATAAATGTCACGGCACCATCATAAGTGGCCTTCTGAGTAAAATACTACACAGGTCAATTCCTAGTTCATGAATGCTATCACAGATATCACTTGAGAACATTAAACTCTGATGCCACTCCTACCCCCACCCTCTTTCCTGGATGTACCTAAGTCAGGAAAAAAAAAAAAAAAAAGAATACCAGGATCTTAAACGTATATAACCTGGGGTAAATTCTCAGTTAGTCTGCTGGGCGTCTGAATAAGGTTCTTATGCTTCCTTTCCTACCCTCCACATATATGCAGTCTAATCACACTCTCTGGTCTTCTCTACTTCCTTTGCTCCTATGACTTTGTTCCTAGTCATCTTTGGGACTTCTAAGCTCCTGAATACCTGATCTTTGAGGCCAGTGTTTTTTAAACCTTTCTTAGCAGAAGAATCCTTTCTTCTTAAGAGAGCTTATTTTGAACTCCAATAAGTAATAAAAGATAAAACCACCTTGGTTATATCAGAGAAAGGCTCCCAACATCTCCCCTACCCAGGCACTGTGATGAAATCTTAGGGCTCCAGGAACAGACTGTAAACCACTGTCCTAGACCTTCATCACTGTTCTAGATTTCCGATGGTGAGCCACTACAGGCAAACAATCTCTATCACCCAGTGCCTGTCACCCTTCTGACTCTGGGCAACTTTCATCATTATTCCCCTTTTCTGTTCCCAAGCTGCTGAAGAGAGCTAACCAATTACACATTTGTTGTCAAATGAATCAACTACAAATTTGTATGATCAAACTTCAGTGCAATGGTCACTCTTGTTCAGTTATCGTCTTCTTCATCTTTTGTGGATTCCATGCCACCATCATGCTAATCAGATGGAGAAATTCAACTTCCCTTATCTTCAAATCTTTAATAGTGTCAGCTTTCCTCCTCTTCTCTTGCCTTTAAGGAGGCAGTGTTGTCTTTACCAAGGAAATGTCTTTACCACTTCACTTTGGCTATCAATCCAGTCCCCATCCACATTGTTCCAGGCCTCACTCAATCAACTATCCTCCCTGTCATTGGCAGTTACAATTTTTCATTCTACCGGTGCCTTTCCCCTAATCTGTTCTGTCTTTTTTTTTTAATTAATTAATTAATTTATTTTTTTATGTTCTGTCTTTTCAAATGACCACTCTTCTCTTTTTTCTAAACAACACTAGAATTGGTAATTTGAAGACCTGAGTTTAAATCCTAGCCAGGCCACGTACTAGCCATGTAACTTTGGACAAGTCAATACTGAGAGCCCATTTCCTTATTTCTAAAATGGGATAATATCTGCTTCATGGCACTGTTAAGAGGATCAAATGACCAATACTTATGAAAGTGCTTTGTAAGCAGCAATATAAATAATGTTAGCAGATGAGAAAAATTAAAAGTTGAGAGGGGCTAGAGGATGCCCCATCTATTAGGTGGCAGAAATTGGATGGATCATCCCAGGTCTGACTCAAAAGCCTAGGCTTTTTCTGCTACACCATATTGCTTCCATCTTTCTGATGACCACTCTGTCCTTCCCAAAGATACCTCAAGTACCTACCATGATCCAAGTACTGGGTTGGGTACCAAGGATATACAATGATATAATTACAATACTAAGGGTACAATTAGTAATGGTCTCCGACCTTTAGAAGTTCCAAGTCTAGAGAATAACAGGTAGTTATGCCCAGATAAGTAACAAAAACTAAATGCTATAGTATCTGGGAAGGGAGACAGGTAGGGAGAAACTCTGAAGAGGACATGACATTTGTTCTCTATCTTCCCCAGGCTTCTTTCTGTAAGTACTTCCATCTGTACCTTGTTGAGTCTCTTATCTCTGACTGCTCTTTTCTTTCTCATCCTTCTTCCTTAATTTTCCCCCAAGGTTTTATCCTTGACTTTTTTCTCTCTGCATGTTTTTTTGTGGCAATCTATCCATACCCATCGATGCTCCTAAATTTTTATCACTAGCTGCAAAACAGTCTCATAAGTTACACATTTCCATCTGTTTATGGACACAGCTGTCCAGTTGTCACATCAGGACCTAAATTCAGTAAGTCCTAAACTAGACTCATTACTTACCCAGCTTCTACTTCTCCACTTGTGTCAAAAATGTAGATTCAATTAATCAACAAGACTTACACTTACTCCTCAAAGATGGGAATTAAGAGTAAAGATACATGAAGAAACAAGCTTTGAGAGAGAGAGAGGACATACTATTTAGGTGTTTTTCTTGTTTGCCCATCTGGTGTAGCAGAACATACTTTGAAACTTTGTTACTATGGAAAGCAATATTGTTACCATGGAAAGCAATATTGTTACCATCAAGAGTCTTAAAATATTCAAATCCTTTAATCTAGGCACTTACTGGTCCTTCTAGAAATCTATCCTAAGGAAACAGTGAGAGATACAATTATGTTTCTTTGTAGCAATAAAATAGCAAAATCAAATAAAAACCTCTACCCATTAACAGTCTAGGCATTTGACAATAAAAGATTCGCTTAAATAATTACAATATAAGACTGATACTATTTAACCATTAAATATCTTGGCTTCAAAAGACAAAGGGAAATCACAATAGGATGTTAGGTTTTAAAAAACAATAAATGGTATTCCTCCAAATGTATTAACTAAAATAACTATATATCTGAAAGGAAATAACATCAGGAAGTTAACAAAGATCATCTCAGTGCTAAGATGAAAGCTTATTTTTAATTAAAAAAATACTCTGTTTTCCAACTTTCACAATGAGTATTAATTACTTTTACATTCAGGCAAACCTGTAATTTACATTTTTAACCAAGCTTCTCCTCTCATCTCAAATGTGAAATCTTTCCCTTATCACTCCAACCAGATATGATCACTCCAACCAGATATGATCACTCCCTGGTCATTCTCCACAACACCATTTGTATCTCTCTATTGCATTTAGTTGTTGGTTTTGTTTTTTTGATATATTGCAATTATTTGGATACCAAATTCACTGTTTAAACTGGTATATGCCAACAGGCTACCTCTACCTTCTTACAGAGGACATGACACTGAATTCCACTTCATATCAGTCTATCCCATTTCCTCAAAAATCATTCTGTTGCTCACCAGCTTTTAACCATACTTTATTATTTAAAGCCCTTACCACCTAAAGTCACAGTTTTATTTACTGTCTGTATCCTCCACCAAAACAAGAGCTCCATGAGGTCATGGAAGCTGTCTGGTTCTCCATTACCTAGAGCAGTTCCTGCACACAGTAAAGGCTCAATAAATATGTTAAATGAATCAATCAATTTTCAGCTGTCTAGACCAGGCCTCTCCTGAGTTTCATGCTACAGATACCTCTACTTGGATGTCTTCTAGGCACCTTAAATGCAACATGTCTCAATATAGAATTCATACTCTCCCCTATCTATTCTTCCTCTTCTATTCCCCATCTCAATGAGTTCCACAGACTTCCACCTACGTCAGAAACAGACATCTACCATGCTGCTTCCTTCTACCCTACCTGCCCAAATCAACTGATCACCAGGTTTTCTGCAGATTCAACCCTATAAATAAATATATCCCCCCATCCCTTCTGCCATTGGGGTAGTAAGGCCTCCATCACCTCTGTGACCTAACTGGATCTAATCTCCTTCAGAATGCTTCCTAACTGCTGCCAGATTATGCAAGTTAAAGTGCAAATATGACCTTCCTACTCTTTGCAGTGGTGGGCCTCCAGTGGATCCCAAGTCACCAACCAAAGTTCAAGCTCTTTAGCATGGCCTAATAGTAGCTAACATAGAACATTTACTATGTGCCACATACTGTGCCAGCTGTTTTACATGGTTTATTTTATTAATGCCTCTTAACCCTGTGAGATAGGTACCATTGTTACTTATACTTCACATATGAGGAAACCTGAAGCTCAGACAGGTTACACAAGTTACCCAAAGTTCAATGGCTTATAAGTAGAACTGAGTTTCAAACCCAGGTCTCTGACTCCACCACCTGTACTTAGCTACAAAGATCTAACAATAGTTGACTGAGTGCTTAGTGTATCAGACACTGTGCTGAGATTTTTAAATTCATTTCTCTTCTAATCTTCCTAACTACTTTATAGGACCTATTATCATCCAGTGTTACACCTGGGGAAATTAAGGCAGTGAGAGACCAAGCAATCTACCCAAAGTCAGAATGATTAAATGCTGGAGCTGGAATTCAAACCCCCTTCCCAAGTTCCCAGAACAAAGTTGTCCTTTCACCTTCCTCACACCCCAAGCTCTCCCTGGTTTGAACCCTACAACATTTTTCGGTATTCTTTCCCCCTCTTCACCACCCACTTTGTGTTCCAGCATCACCTAATTGCTTACAGTTGTTCCTCACCCCAACACTGTGGTCTTTAAGGCCCCTGTAGCTGTTCTACTGCTATTATCTCTGCTGGCTAAAGCCATCCTTTCCTCTTCCTCTATATAATACTCTTATGCATCCTTAAACAACTCATCAGAGGAATCACCTCCGCCAGGAAGCCTTCTCTTCTCTCCTGCTCCCTCTTTGGTTAGGTGACCTTTTTTCCTGCTCTCCCAATACTTTACACATTTTCTTATCACATCATTCTATAATTTATATCATTTCTATGCTTCTTTTCCTCACCAGATTGTATGCTACTCCAAGGAAGAGACCAACCATATTCATACAAATGTCCATACCCAGTTTGAATCCCCACTGCCTAGCATAGCTCCTAAACACTGTGAGCACTTTCACATGATGAGGCTATGCCAGTATTATGATTAGTTCAGGATGTTACACACTTGATCCAGTATTGTTAGAACAGAGCTTCTCAATCAATGGACCAAAAATGGACCACTATAAGATATCTGTGCCTTTCAGAGACACTTACCCCACTGTGAAGTGAAGTGAAGTGAAAGTTGCTCAGTCATGTCCGACTCTGTGACCCCATGGACTATACAGTCCATGGAGTGCCCCACTGTACTGTGTGAATATTGCTATGCTGTGAGAGAGATTGGGAAACACTGCTAAAACGACATTGTTGCTGTTGGCAACCATAAGGTGCTAGGAGTCTGACAGGTATGATCATTTCAACCAAGACAGAGGCTTCTTGAAAAACTGAGAGTTTGCTCTCACCAGGGCCTATGCTCAATAAGAACCCAAAGAGTACATACACCATTGTTTCCCACCCCCCAGAAAAAAACATGCACCCTTCCCCAATAGCACTGCCATTAGGCAGTCCTCAAATGACCCACCTCTCTATTTTAGCCTGTCTCTGAGATGCCATAGCAACGATGCTAGGATAGGCCATGGAGGAATTAGCAGTGTTATTTTCAGCTGAGTTGGTCTTGGTTTTGGGCAGCTCAAACTCTGCCACATGATAGTGCTGGCACTGAGTTAAGTAGTTTAAAAAGTGTTCTCGAGCCCACTGCAAATGATCTAGACGCTTGCTGGGATTGACTTGTTTCATGGCGAACGCTCCTTGAAATGCTGGCACCATCAGGTACTTCAGGTCGGTGGACGCGATCTCCTCCAAATCTTCATTTTGGCTGCAAAGAGCAGAGTAGGCTGTGAAGTCTGACTAGGCATTCCAACTGCGGCCCTTGCTTCCTGGGGGAGGGGAGGGCTGGGATCGGGGTGGGACAAAGGGAGGCGGCACCTGGAACAGCTGCCGGCTTTCTTCAATGAAAGTGGCTGAGCACTCACATCCAATGCCTCTGCAAATAACCGAAACTAGGGAGGAGAGTCGTGGGAAATTAACTATCTTGGAAGAGAGGTAGAGAATGCAAACGATGTACACAAGATCGCAGGGGGAGGTAGGATAGAAAGGCTCCCAGTTTTAAAGGTCTCCTCCACCCAGGCTCAATGGCTCCACCCTTGGTAATCATCATTACCTACATTCTCTGCCGTTTGTTACTACCCTCTCGCCCATACCTGAAGAAGTCGAGCTGCGACAACATTTCAGCAGCCTTCTTCAGGAGATCCAGTCCCTTGAACACCTTATCTTGGATTATTCGGGAGCCGGTGGGTTCAGTTGCGATTTCCAGTTCGTCCAAAAGCTGCTTGCTGGTTTCGAACAGCTCAGGGAGCCGCGGTAACAGTAACTCGTCTTCGGCTGCTGCCATCTTAGGGAGGGAGGAACCCGGAAAGCCTCACTTCCGGGGTCAAAGGCAACCGTGGGAAAGCTGAGCTAGGCGAGAGATGAAGAAACCGGAAGGGGCGCTGCATTGGTTCAGTAGCTCCAGTGTTACCTAAGCGTCTGAAAACTTACGTAAGCTGCTAAGTCAGCCTAGCAACCGTTTCCATGGACTCCTTTTGTCATGCTGCCTATTACAAGTAGTAGACATCTGTGAATGATACACACACGCAAATAAAAAAGCAAACCCCAGGCGCTGCTTTTCGCGTTATTCCTCGTCGCCGACCCGGGCTCGGACTGTGCCATCGGCTCTGAGGAGCTAGTGTGACGAGGCTGAATTCGGAGCCAGGGCGGGCGCGAGAAGGCAGGAGCAGGAGCATTCCAGGAGCCGGCCAGGCGAGCGCCTTACCTCGTGAGGTGCTCCCTGGCCACAAGCGCCAGGGCGGCCAGGGGCTCCGAACTCCGCGCAACTTGCCGGGTTCGCAGGTCTGCGCGCATGAGAGCGAAGTGCAAGTATCGCCCCCCTCCGGCTTCCGGCCACCCAGCAGCTCGAGCTTTGGGTTCCTACCGGCCAATCCTCGCCCTTCCTCTTCCCCGTGACGTCACCCCTCTTACACACACACACACACACACACACACACACACACACACACTTAAAAGTTACTGTCACCCCTTTACACACATACACAATCAAAAGTCACCCCTCCTATACACACACACACACACGTTTTCAAAAGTCACTTCCTCTGAAAACTTCCTTGAGCCCCTTTCCCCTGCCAAATGAAAATTTTCAGTGCATCTTTATCAGAACACCTACCACATTATATTACAGCTAGTGATTTACAAATCTATCTCCCTTACCAGTATGAGTCTGATTAATTTTTGCGCTCCTCTGGCTAGCCCAGTGCCTGGTACTTATTACGTGCCCAATGTCATCATATGAATAGAAAAATAAGTGTTCGGTTTGGAAAGCAGCTCTATTAAGCAGAACGGCGCTGTTCAATACGGTAGCCACTTGCCACATGGGGCTATTGAGCACTTGAATATGGCTATTTTGAATTGAGATGTGCTGTCAATGTAAAATATACACCGGATTTTGAAAAAATTATGAAAAAAATACAAAATATCTCAATCATTTTTACACTGACTACATGTTGAAATGCTAATATTTTGTGTATATCTTGGGTTAAATATATTATTAAAATTAATTTCACTTGTCTTCACTTTTTAAATATGCCTACTAGAAAACTTAGAATTTCATATCAAGTTCACGTTTGTGGCTCACATTATATTTCTTTTTTATTTTAAAATTTATTTATTTTTAATTTAAGGATAATTGCTTCACAATATTGTGTTGATTTCTGCCATACATCAACATGAATCAGCCATAGGTATACATATGTCCCTTCCCTCTTGAACCTCCCTCCCACCTCCCACTCCTTCCCATTCTACTGCACTGATGTAAAAATATAACTCCAGGACTTTGAAAGAAGGGATCTCATTGCTTTGAACGTATCAATATAAATATATTCTGATTACCTTAGGATTTCCTTGGAAGAATCTGCCTGCAATGCAGGAGACCCCGGTTCGATTTCTGGGTTAGGAAGATCTGCTGGAGAAGGGATAGGCTAACAACTCCAGTTTTCTTGGGCTTCCCTCGTGGCTCAGCTGGTAAAGAATCTGCCTGCAATGAGGGAGACCTGGGTTGGGAAGATCCCCTGGAGAAGGGAACAGCTACCCACTCCAGTATCCTGGCCCGAAGAATTCCATGGACTGTATAGTCCACGGGGTCACAAAGAGTCGGACATGACTGGAGACTTTCACTTCACTTCATTTCACCTTAGAACACACCCTCAGTTGTACTAGGAGATTTAAGTAAAATGCATATTGCCTGCCATGGAAAATAAGATTTTTAACTAAATACAGTTTAAACTGTCATTGAGAAGAAAAGAAGTTTTCATGTAAAAACAACTAGAGGGCAATATAGGACAGTATATAACTAGGGGATATGTTGTATTGCCCAGATTGTTGGAAACCCAAGAAATGACAAGTCATTCTGTGCCAGGAGTAGTCTGAAAGCTTCTTTGACCTGACGTGCAGTCATAGAATTTCAAAGTTGGAAGGGGATCTCAAAAATTAGAGGAAAAACAACTTGAGATCAGATAAGTGACTTGCCCAACCAGCTGTGACAAAGCCAATGTACTCTTAGTTCAGGTGTTTTTACTCCATCTACCTTAAATTGAGTAGGATTTTAAAAGATGGAGAGACCTTTTATGTGGGACAGAATGAAGCCCCAAGTTAAACCAGTGCTGCTGCTGCTGCTGCTAAGTTGCTTCAGTTGTGTCTGACTCTGTGAGACTCCATAGACGGCAGCCCACCAGGCTCCCCCGTCCCTGGGATTCTCCAGGCAAGAACACTGGAGTGGGCTGCCATTTCCTTCTCCAGTGAGTATTTGGCAAGAAGGAGAAGGGCATAAGTGTGAGTTGAAAAAGCTCCCCAGGTGATTCTAATAAGCCTCCCCTTGCAACACACTTTAGAAGCTGAGGAGGAAAGGAAGCTCTGGTGAATTACCAGTCTGATTTGTCTGGCACTTCTAGTGAGTCTGGTAAATTGAACTTTCAGGGTCTGCCTTGGCCAAGAATACAAAGAAAGATACTGTACTTGTGAAGGAGACTTAGACACAGTAATTGTGAGGCTAAAGATAATTCGTTCCTGCATATTTGTTTGGATTAAGACATAGATTTACTGTTGCCTAAGAGAAAAAAAATATATAGAATTTGAATTTGATCTTGAACTTTGTAAGCCATTTTTCTATGGCTTTAAAAATACAGTCTTCATGAGAATTGCCAATCACTTTCGAAGTGCATATGATATATTCACATCATCATTGTAAGTATTGCATTGCATCTTATTTTGAGATAATACCAAGATTAAAAAGTGGTTAGAAAAAAATTAATACTAAAAATGAGGTGTTTATTGTGTTTCTGTGTGTAAACATTTTATCACTATAATCCCTGTTGTGTATGGGAGATTTTTTTTAAAATCCCAGTTTAGGGGATCTATAAGGGCCCTTAGAAATCTTATAAATGTAATATTAAACTTTGTGTAGTAGCAGAACTCTTTTTCCAAACCAAATTTTAGACAGGGCCATAATTTCTAAAAGGGCTGCTGTATTTGAAGTGGAAACACAGAAGCCTGCCAACTTAACCCATCTTTTCCCCAACTTGTGCTGTGGCACCCAAGGCCCCAAAGCACCTCTGAGGGACTCAAGTTCATGTGTGTGTGCTAAGTTGCTTCAGTTGTGTCCAACTCTGTGTGACTCTATGGATGGTAGCTCCCCAGGCTCCTCTGTCCATGTGACTTTCCAGGCAAGAATACTGGAGTGGGTTGCATGCTCTCCTCCAGGGGATCTTCCTGACCCAGGGATTGAACCCACGTCTCTTATATCTACCTGCATTGGCAGGTGGGTTCTTTACCACTAGAACCACCATGGAAGCCTGAGGGACTCAAGGGCTCCAAGTAACACAGTTTAAAAAGCACTAATCTACTAACAGCATAGCCCCCTCATTTAGCAGATGAAGAAACCAAGACCTTGAGAAGTTAGGTAACTTGCCCAAAGTCACAGAGTTAAGATGACTAACTGGGCAACAGTATATAGAGTAAGTTGAAATAGGGAGAAACTAGAGTCCAGGAAAGTAGTAGGAAGCATTTTAAGTAATCTATAAATGAATATAGAAAAGAGATGAACTTTTAAAGTATTCCCAGTTGTGACTCCCTGTTTGAAATGATGGATGTTCATTTGTCATGTTTGAATCAACACAAATTTGTTATCTTAGATAAAATTTGTGAGTCATGAAAGAAATGTTATAGTAGGCCTTTTCCTGCCTGTCTGAATTGGGGCACTTGGCAATTTATATCTTTGATCTACTGCTGTTTTGTCTTGAGTGAATAATAGTTCACTGATATTCGTACCTGTAATGCCAGCAATAACACTAGATGAGATCAAATTGTGAGCAGCGTAAAGCAAAGAGTAGGTTGTAATTTGCCAAAAATTATTTATGGAATAATGACTTAATCCTTAGTGTTCAAACTATCTTCACTAAGTATTTCTGAGGTCTGAATTTGCCTGACTAGTAGCTAGATGTTCACTGAGCCATGAAAGGAAGAACTCCAGTATGATGAAGATGTAATTAAATGAAAGGTTGAAATTCCTACTTTTATATCCAACACTGAGGAATGTGGTACAGCAGTTAAAAACACCCTGGAGACTGATATTTGAGACCTACCTCTGTGACTGAGTAGCTGTGTGACCTTGTATAAGTCCCTTCCTTCCTTCTTTCTACATGTGTTACGTGCTACCTGAATCCTGTGTATGTGTGTGTGTGTTAGTTGTTCAGTCATGTCCAACTGTTTGTGACCCCATGGACTGTAGCCTACCAGGCTCTTCTGTCTATGGGATTTCCCAGGCAAGAATACTGGAGTGGGTTGCCATTCCCTTCTCCAGAGGATCTTCCTGATCCAGGGATCAAACCCGGGTCTCCTGCATTGCAGGCAGATTTTTTACCATCTGAGCCACCAGGGAAGTCCACCTGAATTCTAGACACTGAGAATTCAAAGAACAAGACACTGGATTTGAGCCCTTAAGAGGTCCATAATTCAATGGAGAAGACCAGTAAACAAATAGTCACAAATAATCAAATAGGAATTTGGTAAGAATGTAAGGAATAACTTTAGCTCTGAGGGGTGGGGGTTGTGGAGGGCACATCCTGTTAAAGGTCAAACTCCATCCCTGAATTTCTGATATCTCTGCTGCTGATATCCTTTTCATTCTGTTCACCCATGGATCCTAAGCTCCACCTTCAGCAGACTCTCCTGATTTTCTAAAACTATCACGTCCTCTTAGGCCTTCATGTGTTTACATGGGTGGTGCCTTCTGCTGTTAGCATCCTTCTCTCCCTTGTCTGCCTGGCAAATTTTGATTTAGTACTG